CACTCAGATTCATGGGTAGTGACAGGTAGTCCTCAGTCCCCATGGTCATGTGATCAAAATTCAGATGCTTGGCAACTGACTCATATTTATGCCAATTGCATTGTCCTAGGGTCATGTGATCACCTTTTGCAACCTTCTGCCAGGCAAAGTCAATGAGGAGGCCAGATTTACTTAACAACCGTGTTATTAATTTAACAACGGCATTGATTCACTTAATCAATGTAGCAAGAAAGGTCATAAAATGGGGCAAAATTCACTTTAACAAATATCTCGCTTTGCAGCAAAAAAAAGTTTGGCTCAATTGTGATCATAAGTTGAGGACTACCTGTAATAAGTCTCTCCTGCTTCTTTTAGAATCCTGGAGGAGAAAAAAGCTGCACAGAGAGTGTGACTATGAGAAAACAGTTCCCCAGTTGGAAGTATTTTCACCTAAAATAAAACACAATCATGTATGCTGACTCAGGGGCGCTGATGCAGGCACTTTACTTCTGCCGTTGTTTTTTTTTCCTAAAAAATGATGACTTAATCATGGAAGATAGAAGGAGACAAAATGGCTGCATGCTATAGCAGATATAGAGCTCTTCTAAAAGGAAAAAATGGGGGAGAAGGTGGAGTTTGTTTATTTATTTAAAATATTTGCATGGCTGCCTGTCTTGGAACATAACCCTGGGAGGCTCACAATAATCAATTCATTTGCATGCTCAACAAGTTCATTTGCATGCTCACAATAGCAAAAGAGCACATCTTCCTCCAGTTTTTTCTTCCAAAGAAGGATGAAACATGGAGTAGACACCTAGGTCTTGCAAAATCTGGCCACTGTTCTTTGCACAGTCAACAGGACAGTAAACCCGGATCTGACCATCAATGATAAAGGAAGAGGAAGGCTAGGTCACTTCCCTTTCCTTTCCTGAAAACTGCACGCAAACCAGCCATTAAAAAAGTTTGCCTGACAAACTGTTAACAGAAAGGTAGGGTGCTTAAAAAGACAAGCACGAGGGCATGCCAATGTCAAGAAAGGTAACATTTTTAGTTCCCAACTAATCGCAACACCTTGGGGAGGGCTTGATGCTGACCCCCGCACTTCCAGAACCAACTGAAAAATAACGCTCAGGCTGCCTCAAGAAGTCTATGTGCCTGCTGTCTCCTTGACCTATTTCTAAGGTTCAGGTAGCAGATGCCTATCCTCTACGGAGATTCTTGAGCAGAGAAATGACCAGGAGCAACTTTAAGGATGGAGAAGGAGTTGTTGATGTCTGCAGGTTCATATAGAAGAGGTAAAGAGAAGGGAAAGTCTGGGTCCTAACACATTCAGTGAAGGGGGAAATGGGCACCCTCTACCCTTGAGAATGGAGGAAGAGGCATCTTTAAATAGAATAGAATAGAATAGAATAGAATAGAATAGAATAGAATAGAATAGAATAGAATAGAATAGAATAGAATAATGGAATGGAGGAATAGAATAGAATAGAATAGAATAGAATAGAATAGAATAGAATAGAATAGAATAGAATAGAATAGAATAATGGAATGGAGGAATAGAATAGAATAGAATAGAATAGAATAGAATAGAATAGAATAGAATAGAATAGAATAGAACAGAACAGAACAGGAAGAGACCTTGGAAGTCTTCTAGTCCAACCCCTTACTTAGGTAGGAAACCCTATGCCTACTAATGATGTCTGGTGGATAAATCCCTTGGCATTACCATGAGCCCTTCTCCAAACACTTGCGCAGGTCAGAATTATCAGCAGAACTGGTTGTTTTCTATTTTACACAACACCCCTCTCTCCATCTCAAACAGGAATAATTAAAAAGGAGCAAAAACTTTGTAACAACACTAATCTGGATTAGAAGGGATTCATCTTTTCAAAGCAGTCCAGAATTGTTGTAGAGAAAGCAAAAACATCCAAAACTATTGCTCGGTGTATCATTATCACAGATGCAGCACTTTAAATTATTCTGCTTAGTGACTGTATGATGCAGCAGCAAGACATTGGATGGGATCACATAACATACAGTACCACAATCTAACAAAACACAATGACAGAGTTCAGACAATGTGTTATGTTGAAACAGGTAAGCCACATACTTTAATGTAATGGCCTGGTTCATACAGCATGCTGCAATAGCAGTGTGGTTTCCTAAAAGACATTGAACCACAAACCACCTTAATCTGGTCTAGGATTTTATGTGAACCCATCCATCCACTGGATGGTTCAGAAGATGTACTCTGCAACTAGAAGTATCTACTATCCATGTCATTTGGTCAGGTCTTGTGCTAGCTAGGAATGAGAAAGCTGAAGCAACTGTGAGTTTCTCCATCCAATGTTCTAGAACAGACATGTCAAACTCATGACGTTGCACGACGTATCGGAGCTTTTTTGCCATTGCCGGCAATGGGGTGGGCGCAGCTCCGGTATGATGAAATCGGACCGCGGGCCGGCAGTTTGACACCCCTGTTCTAGAACAAGTATGGGCAAAATGTTCTTGTAAAGAGGATCATACTGACTCAAGACATAGTGGGCAGGCTGAACTGAAGAATGGATGAAGCCAGAAAATCAAATGTGTCAGGACTCCAATTTTCTAACCCCCATATACATTCTCTCCCTCTCTCCTTGTGGAACCTGTGGAAATGATGGCCTGAATTGATCTCCGTTCAGAATCCACATTTTCCCCACTCTGTCTCACATGTGCTGACAACTCTTAAAAGAATATAAACAAAATTCATGCTATGGAGACAGAAGCGCTCATAATGATGGCGATGGAGGCTATGTTCCACCAAAAGGACACTTATCTAAGAAGCCACCCAGAAGTTCCCACCTACTTGTTAGAATAGAAGTCAAATGTTCCCTCAGATCTGCATCCCTACTTAGCATCAAGAATGGTGTCTAAGGGTGACATGGGTGAGCAACCAAGACCCTTGAGGTGATTCCCAATACAACTGTCATAATCTCTCAGCAGTGGTCGTTCTTAGTCACTCTCGGCATGAGCACTCAATCCCAGCCATGTGGAGAGCGTCACATTCCATTCCCCAAAGGTACAGTCCCAAATCTTTACCTTCCTCTGGTTCCAGCTCCCCTAGGGTAGATGCCAACACACCCATCTCCTGACATTTTTTGCTGTGGGCTTTTGACTTCATATGTTTAGTCAGATTCCCTGCAAATGAAACAGAACAGGCACAAATTGTCAGTTGTAGTTTGCTAGCTACAGGCAGCAAACAGTAACATAATCGGCAAGCGATGCTTTACATTCCAAGCCAGAAACAGAAGGCTGCTGCTCTTGACATCAAGCAGCTGCCCTCGGTGGCTAATTTGTTGTTTGCTGCTCCCAATTACTACAGAATTGCTTTTCACAACTGCTAGCTCTCATGCAATGCAGAAAAAACCAGCAGGCACATGCTTTGCAAAAACAGGGAAAGCCCTACTCAGAACTCTTCTATGTGACATGCGAAAGAGGCAGGGATACGGGATGCTCATTGCCAGAGTGCATAAAGCAGAGTGGCCATATCATGCCTATGGGTGCCAGGTGGCTGCAATTCTTGAGATGATGATGATGGAACTCCCAAATGAAATATCCAAAAGCTCACAGATTTTTTTAAATAGAACTATTAACTTGGGTTGTCTTTTTAGTATGAAAAAATTACTGACCTAGGACATTAACCCAATCATAAATTCTACTCCAGAAATTAGCAAAGATAAAGATGTCAAAGGAGAACTGAGAGTAGAGTAAAACTAAGAAGAAACTAAAGCTCTCCGCTAGAGTATGAGCACATTCTCATTTTTAATTTAGGATAAACTTTACGATGGTTCTTTCACCTCTTGCTTTATCCTTACAATATTTTTTATTTATTTAAATGCACACACTTTGCACTCTGCAGTCTGTTTTTTCAAGGTCTCTGCTACCATTCCAATAAAAACCTCAGCCAATTTTTATATTCTCCCAACTTCTGGAAATCACTAATCAGGTCATCTAAATCAACATCTTATTTTTTTTTTAAGGAGTACTGTTGTCTTTGCTCAGTTGCTAAGTCATGTCTGACTCTTTGCAACCCCATAGACCACAGCACGCCAGCCCCCCCCCCATCCTCCACTGTCTCCCAGAGTTTGCCAAATTTTATGTTGATTGCAACAATGACTATCTAACATCCCATCCTCTGCCATCCCCTTCTCCTTTTGCCTTTCAATCTTCCCCAAATCAGGGTCTTTTCCAATGAGGCCACTCTTTTCATTTGGTGGCCAAAATATTTGAGCTTCAGCTTCAGGATCTATCTTTCCAAAGAACAATCAGAGTTTATTTCCTTTAGGATTGATTGACTGATTTGATCTCCTTACAGTCCAAGGGACTCTCAAGAGCAGGAGTCTTCAAACTTGGCCCTTTTATGACTTGTGGACTTCAACTCCCAGAATTCCTCAGCCAGTGTGCCTGGATGAGGAATTCTGGGAGTTGAAGTCCACAAGTTATAAAAGGGCCAAGTTTGAAGACCCCTGCTCAAGAGTCTTCTCCAGCATAAAAAAGAGTGCCTGCGTGCAAAGTTTGCTCATTTAACAGTAAATCATGATCTGAACACAATGGCAAGCAAATATGAAATAGAAAAGATTTGAAGAGGTTTTATTTAGAATTACCTTAATTTCTTACATTTGAAAGCAAGACAGATTTGCTTCAGACACAAGAACTGCTTCAAATTAAATATAGGCTGTGCTTTGGGAATAGTGTCTACGTGTCCGATAATAAATCAAAACTGGTAACTGCTCAGCTTCCAGGTGCTCAAGTAATGTTACTTGAGTGGGGAATGTTGCAATAAAGCAACAGAAGAAGATGATGAGGGATTGAGCTAATGAATCATTGGAAACCCTGGTAAGAGCCTCTATGCATGACTCTATGCATTAAGGGTCATTTTAAAAAAAACCTTCAGTCTACGTCTGTAAATTAAATTGCAGTTGTTGCTTAACCCAACCATAGAATTTAGTTACAAGTCTCAGAGAATGAAAACACAAAGGGATTGCATGATGTGTTTTTGGAGATTGCAACAAGGATTTTTTTGCAGTTCAGAATGTAAGGAAGGGAGAAATTCTCAAATACCCAAGCCAGAGAAACATTTGGGAATGTAGTACTAGCTTCATTGTGAATCCTAAGAACCTGTATCCAACAGCAAATAGAGGAAACCAACTTTATCAGGTCCTAAGTAACCAATTTCTCCATTGAAATCACCAGAAGTAAATATCTATTCTCTCTTAAGCAGCAAAACAGAAAATGTGCAACAGAAGGGAAGACATATGACTGGGCTATGAAAGAAATGAAATCAAATTATGGTTGGAGTACTGCAAGTGTATTGCAAAACATTTCCTTTTCTTTATTAGCCTTTCACACAAATACACTTTTTCTCCCCAAGGGACAGAGTAGATCAAAAATAAGAAAGCATTATGAAAGACTTTTTTTAGTGGATCTTTTAAAGTTTTGGTTAATTCCTGAATATGTTTTCATATCTGAGTTCTCGTAATGCAACAGTGTTTCCAACTGTTGGGCAAGTAAGTCTAACTATATAAATTAACAGGGGGGGGGGGGGAACTGTGCCAGGTAGACATGCTCCCCACCCAAGTCTTGGGTGCACCACCCACAGTAATTTCAAGTTGCTACCAGGAATCAGAGGAGGGGGAAATTATAAAATGGGAAATAATCCTATCAACTGAGATAAATTAATGTAAATGGACAGGCACTGAAATCAAACATGTTTAATTTTGTTTTGGTTTTTTTTTTTTTGTTTAATCTGATTCCACCCATTTATTTAATGTCCTGATTCAATTCACATTTGGGAAGTACAGTTCACATAGTCTTACTCAAAGGATTAGTTTAGCCTTTATCTTGAAAACTGCTATATATTCTTGAACTATAAGATTAGAAAGACAAAAAGACATGAGTCCAATTGTTTCTTCTATAAGCTACTTTACCTAGAGAGAAAAAATGTTTTTCAGTAGTGGGCTTGTAAAAAACTATTATCCCAATTATTTAATGTAGAAAAGATCTTAAGTTTCTGATTTAGAATAACTACTAGATTTTCTATTTACAAAAATAGGATTTCTTCAAACTAAAGTGTTTGAACGAATCCTCAATACCTCAAAACGTCTCCTCTTTCTCACCAACAACAAATACTATAGCATAAGTAGAACGTTTCAGAATCCCAAATTCCCTTTTAGGACTAGACTTGAATTCAGGCCCCTTAGTCTTAACCAGTGCTTTTTTTCTAAAAAAAAAAAAAAAAAAAAAGGTGCCAGAACTCACACATGTCATACAACCTGCCTCGCCTACCCTACAAGGTTCCATCCAAAAAAGGTGCCGGAACTCTGTTCTGGGCGTTCTATGAGAAAAAAAGCCCTGGTCTTGACATACCTTTTAAACTTTAGATTATTGAGGAGTTCTGGAGAATATAGAAGTTTGCACCTTATTTCATGACCATAAATTAATATATATTATCCTAATATAGAGGCTAGAAGTTATCCAAATTAGTCCAGAATGTTTAGCATGTGGACATATCATGGTAATGATTAATCAATCTGGACAGTGATTCCATTTTTTGCTTACGGATCTGTAAGGACCCACTCCACTTTGCATCTTAAGAAGACAGAACTCTTGGAATATTTCTTCCAACATGCATCTTTATTAAGAGAAGATGTTTGCAGGCATTCTAGACAGGATCTGAGAGGCCAATCCCTACCATTCAAGGTTTTAAGTGTTCCCAAGCAACCCCCACCCCACCGTCCTTCCAGCGACAATCCCAGGCATTACATTTCCACCCCCTTTTCCTCTTGACCGGCAGAAGAAAGACTTCAAAGAGTATTAGATGAAAGCTGATGGGCCATATTGTTATGGTCAGTCCTCTTGGTGAGATCCACATTCAGTCCATTTGAAGTTTTAATGAAGGAAGTGAGAACCATAAAACCCCTTTGCTCATCCCCCTTCCCCTTTCTGGATGAAAAGTTTCGCTCTTTTGCGGTGGGAATCTTTTGGCAAGGGATAAAGTGCACCTGTTTGGAAAACAAGTCCGTGACTGTCCAGACAACAGTATTCCCATTGCTTTCTGGTAATTCCACTATAAAATCCATGGCTATTTCCCTCCAGGGGGCTGAGGGATTTGCCACTGTTTGTAACAGTCTGGGCGATTTCCCTTGCAACCTCTTTGCAGTTGCACATTTTGGGCAGCTGGCCATGTAACTTTCTATGTCCTTTTTCATGGATGGCCACCAAAATTGCCATTTAATTAAGTGTAATGTTTTTACAAATCCAAAATGCCCTGCTGATTTTGTGTCGCAGCAAAGCTGCATGAATGTGACTCTTTGGGTTGTTGGTATATATAACTTTTCCCCCACCCAAGGCTTTCATTGTAGTCTGTCCACACCTGGAAAGGGATTTTGTTGCCTTCGAGGAACTGGCACCACGTGAGTAATGACCAACATATCCCATATGCCTCTTTCTCCCACACGGGCCAGCGCTGTTCTGTTTCCGTGAGTTTCTTGGATGTATACGCACAGGGTTGCAATACCCCATCATTTTCTTGTAATAGTACAGCCCCCACTGCCACATTACTTGCATCCGCCTGTATTACGAAGGGCTTATCCATGTCTGGATGCTTCAGTACTGGTTCGGCAGAAAAAAGCCTCTTTAATCTCTCAAATGCTGCTTGGCACTCCATTGTCCATGTTAGTGGCTGGCTAGGTTTTACTGAGGATGCTCCCTTCATTTTTAGTAAGTTTGTGAGGGGCAGGGCTATCTGGGCAAATGAGGGGATGAATTGGCGGTAAAAGTTTGCGAAGCCCAGGAAACTTTGCAGTTGCTTTCTTGTGCGGGGTGGTGCCCATTCTAATACTGCTCTGACCTTTTCTGGGTCCATTTCAATGCCCTGTGGCGATATGCGATAACCTAGGTAGTCTATCCTTTCCTGGTGGAATTCACATTTCGAGAGTTTGGCATATAGGTGGGCGGCTCGCAGTTTCTTTAAAACCGCTCTGACTAGGTTGACATGTTCCCCTTTTGATTTGGTGAAGATAAGAATGTCGTCTAAGTAAACCAGGACCCCCTAAATAGGTGCTCCCTTAGAACGTCATTGATTAATTGCATAAAAACTGTGGGCCCCCCTTGTAATCCAAATGGCAAGACTTTGAATT